AAAAAAAAAAAAAAAAAAAAAAAAAAAAAAAAAAAAAAAAAAAAAAAAGAGCCAAGTATTTCTACAGACCAAGCTTTGCAGGAACAGAGATTCTGTTATCAACACCACGACTGAAGAAATGATCCAGCAGAATAAATTTTAAAAGCAAAGGAGATTACACCAACAGCTGGAGTTCCTCAGAATACAAGGATTCACTAAATCCCTGCCTCAAAGATTCTCTAATTCTCCTGAAAGAATTCTCAGGTTCAAAACGGTGTATTTTTTACTCATCTTTCTTAGATTAAGAGATGCCATTGGAGGTCACCCAGCTTATGTGCCACTGAGTCAGAGCCAGCAGCAGAGGAGCAGGACAATCACAGCATATCCTGACAGCTTGTGTTTAAAAAAGTTCATGGGAGGATGCAGTTTAATCTAAACCACTCAGAAGTCCACACCAAACCCACTACTTTGTACTTCCTTACATTTACACTTGCCCCACGTTCATAAGCAGCATTAGCCTCCAAACAATATCTAATGGAATCCTGGGCAAAGTTGTAACTAAAAACTAACACCTGATTCCTCGAAAAGGCTGAGCACAAGGTTTCACGAAACAACAGCTCCACCTACCTGGTTTTTTAGGCATCACCATGCGAGTTGCAAAGTCTGCTTGCCAGCCCTGCTCCAGCACACCTGGAACAGCAGTTTTACATTTGTAAGAAACAGTTTTCTTATATGATTGCTAAGAAATGCAAAATAAAGATGCACATTAAGACCAGTAGAAAAGCATCTCTGGTCACCGCCTGTATGACATAACTCCTATAAAGATTTCTTACTAAAATACTTATATTTAGACATGCAGTTCAACAAATAACATCATGAAAGCACACGGAACTAGCTTCAGGTTTCATTCTTCCCTCATCATGGAATTGCTTTAACATATAGAAGGGGAGAATAAACAACAACTAGTGGCAAATAATTTTAAAAAATACAACCATTATCCAGAACAAATACATTATTTCTATGCCCCATCACTTGTCTCAGAACCCGTATATGTGTTTTTACTAATCATCCCTCAGAGCTCTCTGATCTCAACCACCTGTACAAAAACTACTCAGGGAATAGATGCCAAGTACCTTTCACAGCTTCTTCCACAGGAAGTCCAACAAAAGCTGCAAAATCATCTGCAACTATTGATGTATAAGCCTGGGAAACCAGTGCAAAGGCTCGTTTCCTGGTGGCATCTGAGGACAGAGAAACACTGTGAGCAGATGGACACTCATCTCCACAGGCAGGAAATCTGAGAACATTTTCCCAATTCTGATGCCTTTGGAAAACCACTACCAACCTCAAAGTGAGCACTTCAGAAGTTCCCTCTCCCCTCCCACACTTCACTGATGTACTACACTCAGCAGCCAGAGACAACAACTTGCTCTGCCAGGACAAAACCCCTCAGAGACCACATTTAACCTCTAAATGCAGCGTCTTGGGCACTCCCACCAGTACATAAACCACTTCAGGAAACCCTCCATCTGACGGCATTCCCCACTTGCAATAGGCTGGCATGTCAAACAGTTCAGAAGCAGAAAAAAAACAAACTATGAAAACAATTAATTAAACTATTAATGGCATCTAAAAATCAGTTGTTTCTAAAGCTGCAGAGAATTTGTTATTGCAGAATACCTCAGAAGGCTTCTTAGCAGTCTGTGCTGCCCTCTGGTTGCAGGAATTTGCATGTTCCTGTTTCACAGTCTCTAAAACGTATGTCCCAAGTCCCAGGTAACAGATAAACCTTTTTATAAGGGTCAGAAGGTTCTGAAATGCCAGGTCACGTTCCCTAAATTACTGTTTAGAAGTCTGATAAAACTGGGTAACTAATGGTCAGTTTTGCTGTTACAGAACAAATGGTTTAAGAAATTCCAGTATGAAAGAATATACAATTACAGACACAACCCTAATAAAAACAATTTAGTTTGTTGCTATGAGCTATTGCCATCGGGTTTTTATTTTTATCTGATATCTAAAATACTTTCAGGAAAACCTACAAAATTTTGGCAACAGTTCTGATTTTTCACAATGAGTCATTTGTCTATTTTGTCTCTGTGCTTGAGCACACAGAGATCATTTTGGGCAGTTCCCTGCTGCCCACACGAGTTCATTCTGTACCTCTGAGTGCTTCCATGATTGGTTGGATGGTCTCGGACCACTGATGAGCACTGATTGTTGAATAGATTCCTGGGAAGTCTCTCTGCCAGATTCTCTGTCCCACTGACCAAATTGCACCGAGTTCAGCATTTGCCTGTTATGACAAAAAAACCCTCCCAAGTGTTAATCCAGAAGAATGTCTTTTCTACAGTGGCCATAGCTATAAACCCCTTCCCACTCCCAGGTTTTCACACAGTACTGCTGTGCACCAGATACAGCAGGATTCTGAGTTATCTTTGGTCCAGACACCATTGACTCCACTGATGTAACTACTTTTCTCCTAAAGAGAAAGAAAATTATTCCAGAACTATCTGACTGTCCCCCCTTGACCATGAGGTTTCTTAAACAAGGCTACAGAACAGTTGTTTTCTTGTAAAATGCATGATTTCAAATTAAAAATCTAACAGCAGAGGAGTCTGGAAGCATTTCTGGTGCTATATTTAGCTGAATCCTCCAAACATATCTTTGATCCAGAGGAAGTGGAAAACAGATGCTTTCAGAAAGTTTATCCAGTTGGAGATGCAATTCATCTGAAGTCACTCTGCCCTGCCCAAGGTTTTCTGCCCCCTCCTGTGGAATGTGCCCCATCCCAGAGTCGGATCCGTTGCTTTTCCCCAGCAACCCCCTTCTCCGCAGCAATCCCCAACTGCTTTTCCCAGTAAATCCCCTTTATCAGGAGATTTCCTACTACAAAGTCTACAGATTGACTGAACTCTATTGCACCAGATTCCCTGTGAAGGGAAAGAGGGAACAGATGAGGAGATCTTGAAGCCCAACATACCGAGTGGGCTGTTCCCAGCACAGAACTGAGCCCGAGGCTACTCACAGACTCCTGAGGGCAAAACTCCCCATCTGCAAGCTTACATGAAACTATTATAGCACCAACAGGCAGCTGATGAAGTACTTACAGATTTGATGGCAGGAGGGATTCTTTTCCAGAGATACCGTGCATTGTTCCTAAAATAAAAAAAGGAAGATAAAATAATTCTCAGATACCAAATGCTTGCTGAAAGGAGACACGAAAAGGTCTGTTCAGATCTGTCATGAACAGTCACAGTGCTTTGAAACAGTTCTTCTAGGCAGGAATATTTTACACTGAAGAGGAAAAGCAAAGCTGCTCTCCAGCAGACAATACGACTCACCTAACACAGCAAACAGTTCATTAAAAGCCTCATTTAGCAACAGTTTGAGAGGTTTTTCATTTAGGCAGCATTTCTCAGAGGCTAGGTTTGCACTTTCATTTTTCTTTGACTAATTAAGAGTACCAAAACACTTTCTTCACATGCCCACACCCCACTTTGCCAACCAAAGACTGAGACTGGTTTGGGCATGTTTTTCCCAGCCCAGCTTGGTCACACATATTCTGGGGATTGGGACATACTGAAACATTTAGTTATTGATCTCTAGAGCACAGAAGCCAAACTGAAACTGTTACAAGTTCTAAGATTTAAAATGTTAAATAAAGACTCACTGTTTTTCATTAAAGCACAACTCTAAAACTTCACAGTTGTAAAACCTCAGATTCATCTGAGCCAAGGTTATCTGCATTAAATATCCTGTATCAGCCTTCAGGGAATCTGTCCTGGAAGAATATACACCTACAATCCAGGAAAACACTCCAATCTCGGAATTCCCCACACCAGTGCTTCCTTTGGGGCTGGGTAATCAAATGTGACAGTGACATTTATTCTGCCTGAATAAATAATCAGTAATTTCTCACTAAGAGCCCAAGTGCAGTGAATCAAGTTCACACAGGGACATGGCAATCCCACAGCAGATCGAACTCACAGGATCTCTGCTTCCTGCAGATTTAGCTCCTTCAAGCCAACAGCATCCCTCACTTTTAAGATGGGTTATCCTGTTGGAATTTAAACACAAGGAGCAGCCTGTAACCTCCAAACAAATGCAGCCTTGAGCAGCTATAAACCAAAACACTGAAATGTCTGACACTGCCCAAAACAGCCAAATTCACTATTTAAGGAACTTTAATCCTAAATGTCCCTACAGTTCAAAAGGGTGGGAGGAGCAAACAAAGGAGAGTAACTTTCCAGTCAGATGGAGCGGTCAAAGAGACTTAATCCTGTGAGTGTCACTCTTTCCTTTTAAACACAGCACTGCCCACTGGCATTTTGTTACTCACACAACCAACTCCTCACATTCTGGCAACTGCAGCTCGAGCTGCTGGGAACAAACCCCGGGACTAAAGCCACTCACATGTCGTTGTGCAGCAGGTACAGAGCCAGAAGCTGGCCATAAACAAGGGGGGTTGCAATTCCTCCAGGGGCCTGAAAGGAAACACAAATCGTTTGGTTACACATTTTAGGAGCAGCAGGGTATGAAACAGAGCAGGAAGCCAAGTTTCACGAAAACTGAACACTCCAAGACAACCGATTGAGGGTTTGTCTTCCACATCACATCAAAGGTCTGGGCAATTTTTTTTATATCAACGCAGTTGTATTTTACAACGAACCTTCGGACTGCCCAAACCACGTACAGAGCCACTGCACAGCTCTGTGCCCAGCACCGAAGTTCTACTGGTGCTCGGGATCACACACAGGATCACCCACTTCCCTCCACTTGCCGAGGCAGCCAGATCTGAACTCAGCATCGCAAGAGCTCCCAGAGAAAAAAATTCACAGCTCACCCTTCCTTCAGATCACTGCAGCGGGACGTGTGAGCTCCGGTTTAGACAAGCACTGCGAACTCTGCCCAAGGATAAAGCTCTCTGGATGCCACGCGCACCTCACACACACCGAGCCCCGAGCCCTGCCCGTCCCACCCCCCGTGCCCCTGCACCTCCAGCTCCCGAGTCTCGCACTGCTCCAGGAGCCTCCTGAAGCTCTCGGCGCCCTCGGCCGCCACCGCCACCGGCATCTTCCCGCTGACGTCACTTCCGTCGTCAGCCCCAGGCACTTCCGCCCTGCTCTCCGTGCGCGGGGGCTGCGGGGCCGGGGCGTGGCCATGGCAGTGGGCGTGGCCTATGGTGGAGGCGTGGTCAGTACAATGGGCGTGTTTATGGCAGTGGGCGTGGCCTATGGTGGAGGCGTGGCCAGGGGGGCTGAGGGCGGTGCCCGCGGGTTTTTCGGGATCCCGCAGATGAATCGTTGTTAAACCCCGTTATTTCCGCTAAATGAGCGGAATTCCTGTGCCATAAACTGTGTCAAACCCTTCAATTTCCGTCTGTACACGTCGCCTATTGCGGGATGTATGAGAGACGCGCTCCCAGCCCGTAGTGCACACGTCATGCACGGAAGGGATACACTTTAGGGAGAGGAAGTGCTTTCCAAGCTCTTCCAGCTTTGTGCCTGTTTATGGCGGGGTTTAAGACTAGTTTTACAGTGGCGGTTCTCTGTCCTTGTTCCCCATAAAATCCCATGCCATGCAGAGCAAACAGTGCGGCTGGAGAGAGATCCCACAGAATCACGGAATATCCTGAGCTGGAAGGGAGCCACAAGGACCATCAAGTCCAATTCTTGGCGCTGCACAGGAGACCCCAACAACCGCCCCCCCCGCCCCTGAGAGTGTTGTCCAAACACTCTGGGCTCTGGCAGCCTTGGGGCCGTGACCGCTGCCCTGGGGAGCCCGGTCAGGGCCCAACCATCCCTCGCACATGCAGCAATTTTGGGCCGTAACCGCCCTTCTCAGGGGATCACATCTGAACCCCTTGATTCCCTGCTCGTCTTCTTTGAGGGAGGTGAGAGGAAATTCTGAGGTAAAAATTCAGATTTCAGGGGTCTGGGGGCGGATCTTGGGGTGAAAAGGGTAAATTTGGAAGTGCAGGAGGAAATCTTGGGTGAAAGGGGCAGATGTTGAGGTAAAAAATGCAGACGCAAGGGGTGAAAATGCAAATTTTGGCGGTGGGAGAATGTTTCTAAGGTAAAAAAAATCAGATTTTGGTGTCTGGGTGGAGGTTCTGGGGTAAAATGGCAGAATTGGGGTAAAAGGGGCAGACTGGGGAGTCTGAGGGGATATTTTGAGGTAGAAAAGGCAGATGTGGGGTGAAAATATCAGGTTTCAGTGTCTGGGTGGAGATTTTGGGGTGAAAGGGGCAGATTTTGAGGTGAAAAGGGCAAATTTTGGGTGAAAATGGCAGATTTTGGTGCCTTGAGGGAGATCTAGAGGTTAAAAAGGCAAATATTGGAGTGGACAATGTAGATTCGGGGTGAAAATGGCAGGTTTTAGGGTTTGGGGGCATATCTGAGACTTAAAAAAGCTGATTTTGATGCATGGAAGAAGATTTTGAGACAGACATGGGCAAATTTGATGCAAAGAGGGTCAGATTTGGGATGAAAGGGTCAGATATATGGGTCAAAAAGGCAAAACCAGGGTGAAAAGTAACAGAATTGGGATGAAAAGGGTCTGATTTGGTGTAAAAATGGCAGATTTGGGGTATAAAGGGCAGATTTTTGGGTCTAGAGTCAGATTTGGGATTTAAAAGGGCTGACTTTGCTGCCTAGAGGAGGGAGAACTTGGGGTGAAAAGTGCAGATTTTGGGGTAAAAAAGGCTGATTTGGGGTGAGAGGGGCCAGTTCAGGGGTGAAAGCTGCAAATTTGGGGTGATAAGCGCTGGGTTTGAGGCCCCACAGCTGGTGGGGAGGAGAGACTGGCTGAGCTGGGGAGAGCCTGGTGCTGCGAACGCCGAGGGTTCGACACCATATGGGCCGTTCATTCGGGACTGGACTCGATGGTCCTTGTAGGACCCTTCCAACCCAGAATATTCTGTGATTCTCCTCCACCCTATCATTGGTCTCCCAGTGACATTGGGGTGTCCTAAAAGACATCATCCCCCCCCCCCCATGCCCCCACCCCCCCCCCCCCCAATTTTTGCTCACCCCCAAAGAAGGCACAAAACAAGTCACAGTGCCCTGAACAGCAGCACACGTTGCTTTCATAAAGCCATTGGCAAATGTACATTCTCCCCCCAAAAAGGGGGCTCTGTTGGAAAAATCAAGGCAGGAAGGCCCCCAAAGGGCTGAAGTCCTGCCCTCCCCAGCTCCTGTCCCACAGGACTGAGAGGGAAAACTTACAGAGGGAACTGGGAAAACCACCCCAAATCTCAGGAACTCTCTTTCTGCTAAAATCTTGTGCCTGCATTTATATACCTCTGAGAAAAACACTCCCACTGGAGGAGTCCTGGATTTTCCTTTGGCATTCAATGAACTGGCAAAGCTCAAACTGATGCCATTAAATTCTCCATTTCCAAAATCCGGGTTGTCCTTTGCCTTGGGGTTTCTGCCTGTTTCACAGTCCGGAGGGACCTCTGGCAGCTGCCCTGCCCAGGAGCTGCTGTGGGAAACACCGTCAGGAGGGAGGCAGAAATAAAACAATTCAGGGCACTACCACAAAATATTGGGGGAATAAAACAATATTGGACCATAACAGTCCATGGCCTCCCTTTGTAAACAGACACTGGGCTGCAAACACTGTCCCCCTCAGCATCCCACACATCCTTCCTCTGCAGTAGCTGCACGCCCTGGCTCGTGCAGATCTTCCACATTCTCTCCTCAGTGAACAACAGTCCGGACCAAAGTCCCAACTCATTCCTGAGTTAAAAGGGGAAAGGCAAGGACTAAAGTCACACCACCTCCCTCCAAGATCCCCTCAGTGCTTTTGGACAAGGTCACTTCCCACACTCCTTCAAGAATCAGCAGATCCATCCCCGCCCGTGTCCTCCCGCTGGAGGACCATCCATGAAGATGCTGCACTTAATGTTACAGTCCTGTGATTGCTTTGGGATTTGGCATTTTGTGCACCTCCAGTCACTGAAACACGTGAAAAGAATGAAGTGCAGAATGCTGAAGCTCCACTGTTCCAATTATGTTTCGGTGGTATCACGTGATGTACCAAAATCCAACGCAATACTGAAAAAATGAAAAGCAACATTTTTTCCCTCACTTCTAATTTTCCAGTTCAGCAGTCCTCCTAAGAACAGATTAAAGAAACAAAAAGAAAAGCCCGAGACCTATTATTAACTAGTGAACACAATCACCTGCTTTCCATCCTGTTTATAAACAGAATGCATTTTCATTGGACCTGATTGCTTTTCTAAGAAAAAAAAAAATCTTGTACAGATAAAAACCATCCAGCAGGGAGGTGTTTCTGAGCCCACCCCTCCCAGGTAAAGGATCTGAGGAGGAGCAGCACAGAAGGATCCAAAAGTGTGCAAGGGAAGTTAAAACTGACTGTGTTTGGTGGGGATATTTGAAAACAAAATGCTTTGCAGCTCTCTCAAGCCTGAAGCTTGCAGAAATGAAATGAGCTTGCCCTCCTGCTTCATTCTCTGCCTTCTCTGATCAAGGGAGAATCACATAATACAAAAGATAAAAGATAGTAATGTGTCCTATGCCCCAAAAATTGACCAAGTGACGCTGTTTCTGAGCCCCTAAAAGGCAGCTCTGAGGCTCTGCTTGAGAGCCCAAAATCACAGGACTCGGGCTCAGTTCCAAGCCCCCCAAACACAGCAATGAATCTCTCCCTCTGAACCCAAAACCTGAGCGTGGTATGGTCGCACCCACTCCTTTTATAGCCACGGCCCAGATTGTTCTCTGCGTGGTGCCAAGATTTGGGGTTCAGTATCAGCTCTGCTGGTTTAGATGAATTTTACCTATAGCCTGAAATTCCATGATGAATTCCTGCTGGAATAGCTTCACAGTGCCTCATGGAGGTGAGGCCATATATTCCCATGCAGAGCTACTGATCTAACACCAAGTTTGTCAGGAACCATCCAAAGTTCCAAGGAAGCTCAGCAGCATCAGGACAAGGACAGGTTTATATTCCATAGAATTTGCTATTTACAACTCTTGTCTCCCAGCCCCCACTGATGTCCCTGTGGGTAACTTTACTGAGTTCTCTGGAATTCAGCCAGTCTCCCCCATTCCCCCGCCCCCGGGGTTGGGCTCCAGGGGGTGT